AATGCACCAAACATCTGCACAGCAGGAAAAGCGAACAGCTCTAAGTGTGAAATGGGAAAGGAAATGGAGAGTCACCACCAAACCTAAATATCCAGATAAACACAGCTAGTTGTCTACCATTCTCGAAAGAAAAGGTAGGTGGGGGTTTACATCAGGGGAGAACCCATAGCCACCAAGAACTCCAGCACCGTTCTAGACTACAGTATACCAAAAGACTGCTCTACTCCACCCAGTACGTCTCTGAGACATTAGCAATAGCCTAAAATCTCCCCTGACTGATTTCTTCAGATTCAGACCAAGCCACAACGCATGTCAAGCTTTACCTAAACAGAATGATCATTACACCAGCTCAAGAACACCCATATAATCCCCCCTCGAGCTGCACATTTCTCTTATGAGAATGTCCATGAACACCAGACTCACCTACCTCTCAAGCAAGCTCTGCATCCCGGACCGTGAAGCCCCGCCTTTGTAATCGTGAGGCCCCGCTTTGTAATCATCAGTACAACAAGTGATTATAAAATCCAAGAAATACAGATTCAGAGGAACCACCCCTCAACTCATCCACCCCTCAAAAAACCCATTCATCCATGGGACTTACCAAGACCCAGTATTCTGAATGACCTCGTAGACGACCCAGAAGTATGGGTCTTCCTAGACCTATTCTTCACTTGATGAAGTAACTAAACAGCATTTTTTGGTATACATTCTAGCAAAACAAAATTAATAAAAACTACAAAAAACGCTTTCGTGAGCAGGCGGTCCAGAAAGATTGATGCTGGGAGGTAGCTCGCCCTCCTAATGTTTCCTTACGTCAAGATGATGTTGGGAAACGTCTTCTAGCGTGAAGACCTCCTGGAATTTCTTATTGAGTTCCTCGCACACTTCCTTGTCATTTGTAGTGAATTTGTCAACCCCTGTCCTCAGTTTCATTACTTGTGTGGCTGTGCAGTAATTTAGGTTGAGTCTTTGCCTTGCTTGCTATGTCATTTTCATATTGGCTTTCTGCCTGCAGGCGATGAGTCACAATAACGTGGTTAAAGTATGATGACCAGACCACACACTAGAATGTGAAGGGACGACGACGTTTCGGTCCGTCCTGGACCATTCTCAAGTCGATTGTGAGGCTTTCTGAGAGGCTAGAGAAAGAAGATGAGAAAGAGGCTTTCTGTCTCATTTCTCATCCTGAACCGTCTTCATTCCTGGCACTCTGGTATCTTCTCTGCTCCCAAGTGTCCTATTATTTCTATAGTTTCCCCATGCCCTTGTACTAAGTTGCTTTGCTAGGTTACATCTCTGATTAAACCATGGGTTTCTCGTGTGCATTTCCTTTTTTTTCCTTTTGGACTGGGACGAACTTCTCTGCTGCTTCCTTACACTTCTGTGTGATGTAGTCCATCATGTCTTGGGCCGTCTTTCCTCTGAGCTCTGTTTCACAAATTATATCTGATAGAAATTTTCTTATCTCATAGTTTCCCATTCGGAATCCCAACCTTTAGGTTTCAGTCCCTTCCTTGAGTACATTAACCCTACTTCGACCAGATACTCAAACATCAGTACACTGTGATCAATCATTCCCACGGGAATTTCGAAGCCGATTTCCCTTATGTCGGAGTCATTCAGAGTGAAGACTAGGTCGAGTCTCGCTGGTTCATCATTGCCTCTCATTCATGTGGGTCCCCTGACATGCTGATTTAAAAACGTTTCCTGTCGCCACTTCCAACAGTTTAGCTCTCCGTGCTGGTCATGAAGTCTGAGATGAAGTACAGTTGCCGCAGGAGGCCGACTGGCTCACTCCAGTCTGTGGCCATCTTCATTTAGACATATATCTTTCAAGAATGTTTCTAGAGCTTGCTCTATACCATTTGCTTCAGTGATGTTGAAGCAAATGGGATAGCAAGCTCCCACTCCAGCCTGTCCTTCTAACATTTCCTAACGTCAAGAAACTGTCCCTGATGCGTCTGTTCACCTAGCAGTAAATAGGTGCCTGGGAGTTAGACAGCTGCTACGGACTGCTTTCAGTGTGTGTGTGTGTGTGTGTGTATTCACCTAGTTGTGTTTGCGGGGGTTGAGCTTTGCTCTTTCGGCCCGCCTCTCAACTGTCAATCAACTGTTTACTAACTACTTTTTTTCCCCACACACACATACCCCAGGGAAGTAGCCCGGGACAGCTGACTAACTCCCAGGTACCTATTTACTGCTAGGTAACAGGGGCATTCAGGGTGAAAGAAACTTTGCCCATTTGTTTCTGTCTGGTGCGGGAATCGAACACGCGCCACAGAATTACGAGTCCTGCGCGCTATCCACCAGGATACCAGGCCCCTCATGTGTGTGTTTGTGTGTCTTTAAACACACACACACACACACACACACACACACACACACACACACACACACACACACACACACACACACACACACACACACACACACAGGATAGGCTCAGGAATCTGTACACCTGTTGATTGACGGTTGAGAGGCGGGACCAAAGAGCCAGAGCTCAACCCCCGCAAACACAACTAGGTGAGTACTAGGTGAGTACACACAGGGATGGGGAAATCATTCATAATGAACCTACTGGAGTTCTATGATAAAGTATCAAAGTATCGAAAGTATGGCAGGACAGAGAAGGTCGGGCAGATTGCGTATTTCTGGACTGAAAAGATTTTGATACAGAACTCCACAAGATATTACTATACAAACCTGAGAGGCGGACCACAGTAAGTGGAAGAGCACAGATGTTGGTAAGGGAATGCCTAACAGACAGGAGTCAGAGAGTAACAGTGAGGGGCTAAAAGTCGGTCTGGCGTAGAATAATAAGCGGAGTACCTCAAGAATCGGTGCTGGGGCCCATACTATTTCTCATTTATGTTAATAACCTACCGGAGTTGAGTCTTATGTGTTGATGTTTGCAGACGATGCAAAACTAATGAGAAGAGTCGTGACAGATGAGGATTGTAAAATTCTCCGAGATGCCTTAGACATGCTTCAGTGTTGGCCCGAGAAATGGCTTCTGGACTTTTTGGAGACCCAAATAATTTATGCAGTTAGTTACGGGCTCTCTCAAAGTACGTCCCGGCGTAAGCATGTAAGCATATATGTGAGCTGATATGGATGAGGTTTGTGTGGAAGCTGGTATGGTGAAACAGATGAGGTCCAATCCTCTAAGGGCTTTCGCCAATTATGAGAAGCTGGCGATAACTTCAATGACCCAGCACGACTGGAAACTAATAGCCAGAATGGGTCTTAGAAGCTAAGGTGCAGTGAATAGATGCTGAAGAGGGCCAGAGGGAATGTCACAGATGTGGGGTAGAAGAGGGTATATTGGCTGAAGGATGGGGGAGAATCAGTTTGATTTGGGACCTCAGATCGAGCAGTCGAGAGCCTGGATGTGGGTGGCCGTGCCAAGGTTGACATCCCCTGTAGCTGGTGGACCTTATCCAGCCACTGTAGCCCCTTCTTGGATGACACATCTTAGGTTCTCCAGTGATAAATTGCAAAATAGACGAATAGAGCAGGATGGTTAATAAATACTAATTCATACTTTTGAATAAAACATTTTAAGAGTATTTATTGCTTATTTCTATTTACTTATTACTGTTAATACAAAAATGAAAAAGCTTTTCACTTGACACCTGGCTTAATAGTTACAAAAACCTGCAGGCTTATTGGTTACAAACATTTGGCTTACTAGTTACAAACATCTTGTCTATATTTTGTAATGATTTTGTTTTCATACAATTGTCTTTAACAATGTTAGCAAAAAAAAGTTACGTTTGACTGTTTTTAAAACAGGTTTCAACAGAATAACATTGATTCTAATTGTCTCCAAATTTCATGTTCCACTTGGCTTTGGATTTTTTTAACACAACTTAATTCGGAGTCGAATAATTCTTATTAACAGGTCACGTTGAAACTTTAATCATATCAAAATTGTTACTCGATAAAAAAAGGTAACAGGTAATAAAGCTCGATAAAGGTCAAAAGGTAATGTATTCTTTTTCGCAAGTTTTTTTAAAATTCTCGCGGAACCCGGGCATGGTCTCTGAATCCTGATTGGGACTCGCTGCCATAGGCTCTTGGTCCATTTTTACAATCATCTGTAGTGACAAAACCGATGCGCTCTTGTTATCTATAAACTCAACTTGCTTTTTCATTTAATAAATAATTCGTATCCAGGTGCTTTTTAAAGTCTCTCACCAACCAAGTGGTTGGGTATCATCCTTCCCCCCCCTCCCCCTCCCCCGTCCCATCCCAAATCCTTATCCTGATCCCTTCCAAGTGATATATAGTCGTAATGGCTTGACCCTTTCTCCTGATACGTGCCGTCCCTTCACCCATGAGCTGTTTCAAGGTGTAAGTGTGCTGCCATATATATATATATATATATATATATATATATATATATATATATATATATATATATATATATATATATATATATATATATATATAGAGAGAGAGAGAGAGAGAGAGAGAGAGAGAGAGAGAGAGAGAGAGAGAGAGAGAGAGAGAGAGAGAGACAGACAGACAGACAGACAGAGAGAGAGAGAGAGAGAGAGACAGACAGACAGAGAGAGAGAGACAGACAGACAGAGACAGAGACAGAGAAAACAAAAATAGAATTAACTATGAATATTATAATGGCATTTTAGAATACTCTAAATCAGTTGAGGCTTCGTTGTTCTTCATTCGGCTCAGTTCCCGAGTCCATTATGCGCCTCTATAACATTACCCACAATCACCCACAGGATGGGTATGGCGGGCTGAAATTAATTAAATATACTAGAACGCTATGTGGTCCCTCCAACCTGAACTAACGCTGAATACACACCCAAGAGTTGATGATCCTCGCGCTAACCAATAGCTAATCACTACTTTGTGACCAATCGCGGCTTCGAGCAGCCGCTGTCGACCAATGGAAAAAAGAGTTTGAAAAGATGGTGTTGTTATGCGAGTACATAAAAGGCACAGCTGGTGTTTCTGGTTTCAGTAAGGGGCTGGACGCTGTGCTGTTCACCTCTCCTCAGACCCATTACACCTGATCTCTTGCCATAGTGGTGAATATTATCATATACTTTTTTAGTCTTAATTGCCTTTTTTTTAGGCTGTTTTCAGCGTGCCCAACAGGTTCCGGGGCGTTGTGAACCAGTAGGGTGGTGCTAGACCATGTTGTATTTATTTTAGTAATTGTGTTCAATTTAACTCAGTTTTTATATTTTTCATAATTTTTTCCTAGACGTTTCAAAGCCACTGTGTGTTCCCTGAACGTGTTGCGGTACAGGGGTCAGTTTTCCCTGTACCCGTTGTGGTACAATAGTCAGTGGTTCTCTGTATCCGTTGTGGTACAGTAGTCATCGGTTCTCTGTACCCGTTGTGGTACAGTAGTCAGCGGTTCTCTGTACCCGTTGTGGTACAGTAGTCATCGGTTCTCTGTACCCGTTGTGGTACAGTAGTCATCGGTTCTCTACCCGTTGTGGTACAGTAGTCATCGGTTCTCTGTACCCGTTGTGGTACAGTATTCAGTGGTTCTCTATACCCGTTGTGGTACAGTAGTCAGTGGTTCTCTGTACCCGACGTGGTACAGTAGCGGTTCCCTAAATCGTTGTTGAGTCATAGTTAATGGTTTCCAAAAAATATTGTACCTATTGCTGCTATTAATGGGATGTTGAACATATGTTGCTCTTGAAAATTTGTAACATTTTCTTTTGGTTTTTATAGAGGGCCCTAAAACGATGGCAAAACCCAAAGCTAATTTTATCTAGGTAAAATATAGTACATTTATTTTCTAAATTAGGCCTAAGATTTGCGTATGTTAGGGGTATTTTGAGTGCGTATTTTGACCTAGGATAGACTAGGTTGAAGTTAAAGTATGTTTATTGAGAAAAGAAAAAATACAAGGACTAGGTTAGGCTGTTTCAGTAGTTGTGTTCCTTAGCATTTCATCAAAACAATAGTGGACTGTTTGGGAGGTAAAAGGTACGTATTTTGTAAATTTCACCTTAAGTAGCTATAGGGTTTCGTCCTTTTAGAAGGATGGTTGGATTTCATTTGTGCGCAAGATTAATTGCAAAAGGAAAGCCTAATATAAAAAAATGTAATCAAACCCTCAGTAATATTTTTATATAATATTAATAATGATAGGTTCGAATCCTCCTCATATGGCTCCTACTGATTGTCTCATTATTATTATTAGTTTATGAAAAAATTAGTTTTATTCGGATCAGGAGGACTGAATGTAAAATATTAATATAACGATTCAGCACTAACTGTAGATGATGCTTTGCTAAGCCTTCCCGCACAGTTAAACAACTTTTTTTCAACAAATGAAGGTGTTTAACAGATAAAACTAACATTCACCAGCTTATAACCGAAGATGCATTGTATTCAATTCTTTTAAAAGCATCAAGAAACATATTGAATGATTTTGTATAGTGATAAATGAAAAGCCTTATTATTTTCAGTGTGAATACAAGATTGAATGCCTTACATGAACGTAAGATTTAATGAAATGGCAGAAGACCCACACTAGACAGCTGCTATTTATATCCACCCAGATTCCTTTTGACAGAAATTATTCCCCCAACACAACCTTCCCCAGAACTCGCAGCCAAAAATTCGCTAATAACTCTGAAACATAGTTGATCCGAGTTCAAGGCTCTAGAGAATGAAGTGTTATTGCCCGTATTGTTATGGATTGCATCATAGTTATATCAATCTCATTTTCCAAGATGTGGCAGTGTACTCCGTTTTGCAATTGCTTGCTGTCATTTCTCAATATGCCCGAAACATTTGACGAGGTTGAACACACACAGCTGCTTAAAGAAGTTCCAAATTTAGATATCTGCTCAGCATTTTTAATATCTTTGTAAATATATATCAGCCGTCCCCTGTCGAGGTTCACGGAAAAAGTAGGATGGAAGCCGCCCCCCTGAAAAAAATAAAAAAGAAATAATGACCAAATCACAACTCAAAAGTTGGAGAAGCGAAGACGTTTTGTTGCGTCCTAGACCATTATCAAGTCATCCTCAAAAGGGAATGGTTCCAGTCCTATTTTACACTACTAGTGACATATCCAGAGTATTTCCAGCTAATATTATTTGAAGTAATTTTATATATACACACTAGATGAAGAGCAGGAGCTGTTGACTAGTGTACAGAAATCAACACCACACAGGAACGAATCTCTGCACTCGGATGTTTCTCAACTGTAACGAACTGTGACAATAAAAAGTAGCGTTCATATCCACAAACTTGATCTAATTGTGTTGCATCTAAAAACATTGGTAAACACATATGCACGGGCGTCAATGCTGCTCTTTATAATAATATTCATTCAACTTTATAATAATATTCATAACGTTATTCATTTTATATACCTTTACCAACGAAGGTTTTTTCTTATTTCATCTCATACAGGAATATTATGGCAGGTGGTCGAACATTCAGACCAACTGCTGTAGATGACCGTGTGAAGATCATATTCATGTGGATTGACGGCATATCTGTGCGCGACATAGCGTTGAGGACAAAGACCAGTGTATCTACCATCTACAGGTGGATAAGGCGGTGGCAGCGAGACGGCAACGTTTATGGCTCGAGGCATCGTACAATTATCCCCTCCAGTGCGCCAAGGATGATGAACCCCTCGAGTGTTCCCGCCAACGCTGCTATGGACGCTCCTACCTCCCTGCGGGTTTATGCCCCACCTGATTCGCTTACAAGCGAGTTTCCAGCGAGAAAGGAGAGTTTTTACGCACTCTCTCCTTTACCGACTGTGCGAATCTACTCAAACCAAACTACAAATCGGAACTTAGCTTGGAGCATACAGACACCACTTTAAACTTGCAAAAGCCTCGTTTCAGAAGATGGCGTTAGACACTCGATTTTTCCTCTAGCAAGAAGTGGAACGTTGCTGGACTCAAACGCCACAATTCCTTCACACCTATCATGGGGTCCAGTCAAGGATAAAATCATCTGGATGCTACTCTGACCGAGCCAGTAAAACGCACACACGATTTTGCCTTCCAAATTACACTAATACAACAACAGTGACAGAGATATGTTGAAAGCATTTCTCAGAGATTATTAGTTGCAGCAACACTGTCACAGCAACATAATAAATGATTGCATCATATTGAGCCAGGCTGGTGTTACCTTGCCTTACCCGCCACACTGCTCATCGTACCCTCAATCGTTTTTCAGAGCTGTCCTCTGTAATGCTGAATATCAAGACATGTATTAATAAAGACTCCCGTGTACAATGTGTGGTATATTTTCATTCATCATATATGGTTTGGCGTGATACTGGTTCAGGGCTTGAATCCCAGCGAAGGAATAAAGAGGCACCGAGAGATGTATACCCCGCTTCTTGTTGTGTATCTATATATATACACTGAGGATTTACCTTAGTCTCGATCTATGTTTATGACTAAATCACACTTGCTGGACAGTCGACACGCAAGCGTCGCAGCCGTAATAACCAGACGCCAGGAAAAGTATCCTTTTTGCCCTACACTTACAGGCAACTCACTGTCCAAGTGACAGTGCTAGTGTTTTGCCCTCGACCTGATGTATGATCAAGTATGTGATCATACACCTGGTGTATGATTAAGGATGTGATCAAATACCTGGTGTATGATCAAGTATGTGATCATACACCTGGTGTATGACCCTATACCTGCTGTATGATCAAGTGAACGTAAGTTTGATGTCAATACCAGAACAGCTCGTAGACTTTTTTTTTTGGTAACGTTTTGACTGATCCATTGAAAATGGGACGTGTTGGTAAAAATTAATACACCATAATGTTTTTCTGTGTAACTGGTACTATAGGTTAAATGGGTTGCTTGGGCTCGTACCTTTCTGGTTAGACAAAACGGTTGTATACATTTTTTGTTTTTTGTTTATTACGGTGGTAAATAGGTACAGTGGAATGCCCTGGTTGAAGAAATGGGCTGGGAAAGGAAGGGAAGGGGTGGTAGAAGAATCACTCGTCCTAGGTTCTTGTCTGGCACTGTCTTTCCTGGCACTTATAGTTTCGTACCAGGCGATTGCTTCGGATTCGTGAAGAGGCACTCAGGTTGGTAGACAATTTGTAAGTGACCGTGAAGTGGAGTAGGTTGTTACATGGCATCAAAGCATGACTCGAGCACATACTATCCTGGGATCGATGCCCTTGTGGGGACAAATCCAACCCAAAGTCTGTTAAATTATGTATCGAAACGCCACAGTATTAAAGAACCATACTTTAGCGTTATGTTTAGGTGTATTTATTATCATGGATTATTATTGAGAAAAATCAGTAGGAGGCTTCGAACCTATTCTCTCGGTACTTCCAAGCAAACACCTTGGGAGTAGCCAGAGCATAGGTTCGAATCCTCCTTATGGCTCCTACTGATTTTCTCATTGATCAATCACGTTAATGGGATTTATTTTTGCATAGATATTATTATCATCTTTATTGACAAAAATTGTAATAAATTTTACCTAATTGTTGTAATTCAATTAGGCATTACTGCAGTGGGGATACTGCTCATAGTCATTGCTGTATATAAGACTTTCGAGGAAATTAAGACATAAGAGCATAATAACTACGGAAACCGCAGAAGCCCTATTGGTATATACGAGGCAGCGCCTATTTACATCAGAAAATTATGAAAAAACTTGATAATTACAGTTATAAACGGAACTCAAATGGGTAATTATATTTGCTGCTAAATAGTCTTTCTCAGCTTTGGCGTCTTCTGTAGACCATTCTGTAAAGAAGGCACCAACCTGGAAGACTACTGAGCCCTGCGTGTCACGATATTTGGGCTCAAATATTCCCCAGGAGGCAGATGTCAAATATCTGTCACTGTTACAATGACCACATGTGACATAAGATGCAGTTTGATCCTGTGGATCCTTATGCTTCATATAACATTATTTGCAGGCAAATTAATTTGTTACTGTAGAATATAGAGGAAGTAGCTGCTAGGAACATTATATAGTCTGCCCTGTAAGCACACTGAGCGTTACCAGGACCTCTCCATTTTCTGTGATGGTTTGCTGCCTTTTTTGGCTGGAAGCTTGAAAGTTTGGTGCCTTTTTTTGGCTTGAAGGTTTGGTGCCTTTTTTGGCTTGAAGATTTGGTGCCTTTTTTGGCTTGAAGGTTTGGTGCCTATTTTGACTTGAAGGTTTGGTGCCTATTTTGACTTGAAGGTTTGGTGCCTATTTTGACTTGAAGGTTTGGTGCCTATTTTGACTTGAAGGTTTGGTGCCTTTTTTGGCTTGAAGGTTTGGTGCCTTTTTTGACTTGAAGGTTTGGTGCCTTTTTTGGCTTGAAGGTTTGATGCCTATTTTGACTTGAAGGTTTGGTGCCTATTTTGACTTGAAGGTTTGGTGCCTATTTTGACTTGAAGGTTTGGTGCCTTTTTTGGCTTGAAGATTTGGTGCCTTTTTTGGCTTTAAGCTTGAAGGCTGCGTGTCTTCTGTACATAATTTGCTAAAGAAGACTCGAAGCCAGGAAAGCCTATTTAGCATTAATTACAATTACTTATTTGAATTCTGTTTATAAAGCTCTCTAATTACCAAGATTTTTCATATATCTGGATATTGTTACTTAATAAGATTAAACTTGGAATTGTACAATAAAAGTTATTACAATAATTTGGCGCTTGTGGAATTATTGTGCCGAAGAATTTAAAAGAATATGGTCAGAAATAACTTTTGGTATTTTTGCTTAGTCACCCATATTTAGGTGCTTTTTCTCTCAATCTTGCAAGTAAAAAAGAAATTTAAATGTTAACTCCTAATGCCAAATTTTCGCACTGATATCAAGATCAGAGCTTAATTGATATGAAATTATAGATATCCAATGTGGTGTAAGAAATCTACAGAGAATAAACTCGTAAAATTAACTTTTTACAATTTTTCAAGATTAGTGTATATGACAGATATTGCGCAGTGCAAGGGTTAATAACAATGATATTTAGGGTTGGTGTTCACTGTCTCAGGCATGGCGTGAGGAGTACTTGAGTGGCAATGAATGAAGGAGTGATGATGATACTGCTGCTCTTGTTCCTGGCTGCGACTGTCTCCAAGTTGGTTCATACTCAAGGTAAGTTGTGATTCTGGGGTTCACCTAAGTTAGAAACATTTGTTGGAAGTGTGTTTTATAGTGGAAGACCTTAGTCAAAAGTACAAGAGAGAGAGAATGAGTTGAGGCAGAGCGAACAGGAGGAAGGGAGAGAGTTCAGAGAGAACGGAATGGCGGAAGAGAGGCAAAAGGAACAGGAGGGAGGGAGAGAGGTAGATAGAACAGGGTGGAGGGAGACAGGAACAGGGAACGGGAAAGAGAGAGTAAAACCTGGGTACCTCTTGTTGTGTTTTAGGGACCCTCGGCCGTGAAGAAGAGGATATGCAGCACCCGGGGGGAGCCTTGTCGGGCTCCCACGTGCGCTCACATATTGTCTTCTCCTACCATCCTCTATATATTTATAATTATTTTATTTAACATGGAACTTTATTTCACAAAATGGTTTGCAACATTGGATACACACAAGGTACACAAAGTTAGTTGTCACAGGTTGTCGAGTTCCTCCAGCTCCTCAACCGGTGAGCAGAAACCATGAAGGTAGTGTGCAATTCCCCTCTGTATTGCCACGCTGAGATACTGGAGAAGGAAGCTGGCGGCTCTAGGATCTCTTGTTGTTTCAATTAGCTTGGTAAGTAAAACCTCAAAAAACTAGTGGCAGTTTTTACTGCAAGTGTCTCTAAGGCAATGGGGACAAAATTGTTATTATAGTGATCCAAATATTGTGCTCCAGATCCCTTTGTTTACGATACTTGCCCGCTTCCCAGTGGGTGGTAGTACCACTCAGATGTGAAGTCAATGTAGGCATTAACCAAGGATGAAAGGCATGTGTAGCCCCACACCAACTGCCTTCCATTCTTTCAAGGGTTCACTGCGATCCATCTGGACGACCAAAAGGCTTGTCAGAGTTGCGGGGCATTAGGTAACATGGCTCTCTCTCTCTCTCTGCTGGGATCTATGTGGCTGTGGTGAGGCTCCCCCTTAATGATATCATGGACTTCACTGCGTCTTGGGTGCCATCCTCCTGTGCAGAGCAGGGAATGCTGGGATATACCTGTCAGACACTGCCTAGCCGCAAATAATACACCCATATTCGGTTTGGATTGGGGCAGCAAGGCGGAGAGCCACTGCAATTCGAAGGACCTGCGGTGTGAGATGTATGCCAGTTGCTGACATTGGTGTTGCTAATAGGAAGTCACCTGCATAGGGAGCTGCTCTAGCTCTAAGGCGAGCAGTGTCACATGGTGTTGTTGCAGCTTATAATATAATATATATTATAATATAATATAAAAACGGGGAGTTAAGAAACAAACCGGTTTTACTTTTCTCATGTTTAGATTCAGAGGAGACGCTGAGGGCGGCGGGGCGGTGCTTGGCGGCTGTGGCGGCCAGAGTGTGGCGGCCGCGCTCCTCCGTCATCCTCCTCACAGATGGCAGCACCTCCCCCTCCACTGTCTTCACGGTGCGTCCACACTGCATCTCTACCACCTGTGTCCTTATAAAGTTTCATACACCACTCACTCTCCGGTGAAACTAATGTAATTTCACTTTTTCAACACCTGGAACTCCTCTCATTAGCTTATCCCCTTCTTCCCAAACTGTTTTTTCTACCCAGATCGTCGTCTCGATCCCCAGGACCCTTCTCACACCCCTTCTAGACCACAAGCCCCTGTCTAATCCCACGCCAGGATCTATACATTGGCTGGAGATGCCAGTAAAGGAATCGGCATGAAAGTGAAGAGTCTAAATGTTTTGTATACTAATGGTGATGGCCAATAATACAGATGACCTGTATAAGAGCGTTAAGGCAATTACTAGGAGAAGGCATTAAGCCATTATGACTATATAGCACTCGGAAGGGATATAAGGATAAGGACTTAGGATAGGATGGAGGGAAGGAATGGTGCCCAACCATTTGGACAATCGGGGATTGAATGCCAACCTACATGAAGCGAGACCGTCGCTCTTCCGTCAAGTCCAAGTGATTCGGATATCTACTCCAGTAAAATAGCAATAGTGGAAACTAAACTAACTGGAATGATATCAAATCCAATATTCCCCTAAGGTATACCAAATAAAGGAAAACCCCAGAGCAGTGGAGAGCGAAACTGATTATGAAAAAATACTTCCTTACCAGTGTTTTTCCTGTATACTTCCTGATACAGTGTTTTACACCACCTGGGTCAGGACAGAGAAGAGACAACCTCTTCAGCTATCACCATAATCCGCCTGCTTAATTCCTTATTATTTGTCCCTTCAGGAGCTGTGGAAGCTGGGAGCGTCTTCGGGAATGACAGTGTTCGAGGTAGCAGCAAAAGGCACCACCTCCAACCTGACGGAGGCGCAGCTGTCGCAGGCGGTGGCCCAAGCTCGCAAGGTATATTTCTTTTAGATAAAAGGATTCAGTTAGGTTAATCTTAGAGCACGTGAGGGAGGGAGGTCTCAAGTCTGATAAGGAAAAAGTTCACTGGCAAGTTTAATGAAGAAGATAAAAGTCTGTTATAGGATTAGAGAAGCACCTATTAAGTCACCTCCTTAGACTGCTGAGGCAGGCAGTTAACATCCAGATCTGGGGACACTCGTAAGTTACTCGCAGGACTCACAATGCTGATTGGTCACTCTCGTCACTAGTGGAGCATATAGGTCACTTGCAGGGCTAATGAGGCAGGTCACATCGTTAGTGAAGAGAGCCAAGAACTATGTAGTGCAGATTACATCACAAATATAACAGTTCTCGTAAAGTGAATCTTATGAAAGAGATATTGAAGAACACATCGTTGCTGAAGTAGATCACATTATCAATAAGGTAACTCTGTTTATGACACAGACCAACACAGCTGTGAGTTCTGGCCCACGTTAGAAGTGAGAACAGGCCCTTCATAACTTAGGTAGGGTGCATGGTAGGAATGCAATCATGCCTTGCATACCACTTGCAAGGCACGATTCACAAGCAGAGATGCAAGCTGCAAGTGAGGCAGGACACACTTTGTGAGAGTTTTATTGATTTTAGTTTCCAGGGAAGATGGTTAAGATTTTAAACCACCTCTCATTGAAACGTGTTTTGTGAGCTCTCTGGTGTTGTAAGTCCTTGTTAATTGTCTCACAAAGAGGTACTTCATATTTTATAAAACTCAGTTAAATTCTTCATTGGTTTGTATAATATGAGGTTCGCCAAAATATGTGGATATATGCAAACCTAGAATATTGACATCTCGTGTGTTGTAACCTTGAAAACTTAATATGTCCCTGCGCCTACAATTGGTAAAAACGTTAAGGTTAGTGGAAAACCTGTATGTGGTTCATTTTTGTTTGACTCTTGATTTGCCTAGACACCCTGATATGTCTCTGATGGGTGGTGTTGAATGGGAAAATATCCAACTTGTTGTTTTAATCTGTTAAATGTTTATTTTTCACTTCTAAAATTGTCCTGGGTATGGAGTTTTGTGTGATTCTGAACCGCCATATCTTAAATTTATTATACATGTTCTAAATATATAGAAAATCTGGTGGAAATCTCCACCACATCCACCAGCAGTGAGACGGAACACAACCTGAGTCTGACCACTCGACAGGTGCGACAGGTGTCGTGGTTGGTGATGGTGGTGGTGGTGAGCGACGACCCGACCTTCCTGGCCGCCTCAGCCGAGTGGGCCATCAAGGGCCACCTTCTGCTGTGGGCCAACAGGTTGCTGGCCATCACCCGCCGACCTCTCTCTGACCTCCGTCACCTCCACACTTCCTTCTCCATGATGAACGCCATGTTGCTCATCCTGGACGCCTCCTCCAGGTAATGACCAGCCACCATGTTGCTCATCCTGGACGCCTCCTCCAGGTAATGACCAGCCACCATGTTGCTCATCCTGGACGCCTCCTCCAGGTAATGACCCGAGTCGACGCCTCAGGGATTAATCTGGGCTGTCATACAACAGTGCAGGCTTCCAAGCAAGTGGCGTTACGCTCCAATATGCTAACTTACGTCACAAAGCCTGTATACTCCATACATGTTTGAATGAAACGTTATAAAAACACCTTTAGCTAGGGCATTGCGAGGTTCGCATCCCACGTTAAGTATTCATAGCTACCTTTAAGGTCTTATTTCCTCCTGGTATGTGCTGAGTTTTTTACCAAATGAATTCCCTGAAAATACTTGCTCTTCTCTCCTGACTTGTGAGTTGGTCTTAGCTTGTGGTCCAGCCTGTGATTGCTTTAAAGGACTGGAAATGTGTACATGTTGGGTATTGTAGCCGCTGCTGTTGTTGAGTTATACAGCCAAGAAGTTGTTGAGTACTGTATCAACTGTCGTTGCAGGTGTAGTGTGTACGTACACCTGCCCTACAGTCCCAAGGATGCACAGGTGTTACGAGTGGCCACCTGGTCGACTCATCTCGGCCTCATCCTCGATACACACTTCGATCTCTACCCCAACAAGTTCTCCAGGTGAGCTTGCTGTGATGGCTCCTGTCTTCTGCGTTGGCCTGGCGTGCTTTCCAGGTTCGTGTCCTCTGCGTAAGTCTTGCTTTCCTTGGAGTGCTAGCGGCACCGGAGACGAGCAGCTGCTCCATAGACTTTGTCCTGTGTTCTCTTCTATAAATATATTGATGGAAGGATGCATATAGCCTTTAATCACCAATAATGTATGGGAGATATTGCTGTTACCGTTACGTGTAGTCGTAGTAACTTGTTTACGTTCGTTGTAGTTTAGAACTATATCATGGGAACAGTCTTCTAAATCATTGTAAATAAAAACTGTTTGTGGTTATGGCTCTTTGAAGAGCGAATCGTTTAGATAAATATCACAGTATGTTGGTACGATGGTATGGGAGTGATTTTGAGAACAGATACTTTTAGGTAGACATCTACAGGTGTATGTAGACATCTGCAGGTGAATGTAGACATCTGCAGGTGTTTGTAGACATCTGCAGGTGTATGTAGACATCTGCAGGTGTTTGTAGACATCGGTGACGTCCGTGTTCTAATGGACATAATGATCTAGAGGTACCAGTCAAGGATACAAATGCAAGTAGACATCTATATCGTCCGTGCCATAATAATTGTAGTTAACATCAATTACAATCACTATTATGGGACAGGGGGTTACCACCCCTGGCTGGAAGACCCCATACATAGTCTCGGAGAAAAGCACACAAAATGCTTTTTGGGGGGATTTTAAGTGGGGATTTTAGGGGTCCTCTATTTGGGGCCTTTTTTTGGGTCCCGGTTATTATTTAATTTATGATGATAATACTGAAGTTATTGTATTTGGTGATAGCCTCGCTGTAGTAGTCAGTTTGTCCTCTATTTGGGGCCTTTTTTTGGGTCCCGGTTATTATTTAATTTATGATGATAATACTGAAGTTATTGTATTTGGTGATAGCCTCGCTGTAGTAGTCATTTTTACCGGTGCTGTGGTTCCCATTGATTTATTGATGTCACCCAAAAGGTGGCACGGGCATGAATAGCCCGTAAGGTTCCCATTGGCCCGCAGGTTGTTTTATGGGCGACATCTTGTGGTGGCGGCTGAGGAGTTCCCGCCTCACGTGGTGAAGGACGCGACCCCTCGCGCAGTGGGTCACCCTCTGACCTACACCGGACCTCTCGCCCTGCTTCTCCAGCTCCTGGCTCACAGCATCAATTTTACGTAAGTCTACCCTGGGAAGAGGGACTGTGTATAGAGAAGTGTGTGTGTGTGTGTGTCAACTCGTCCTCTTAAAAATAACGTCACTTTTGGCTCGTATGCGCACTATGGACAAATTTGGACGTAATTTGAAATTAATCGACTCATAAAAGTGACGTACTGTTCCGTTTTCTGTTTGAGTCGTCCGGCTTACTCTGTAATATCTTGAGGTTATCTTGAGATGATTTCGGGGCTTTTTAGTGTCCCCGCGGCCCGGTCCTCGACCAGGCCTCCACCCCCCAGGAAGCAGCCCGTGACGGCTGACTAACACCCAGGTACCTATTTTACTGCTAGGTAACAGGGGCATAGGGTGAAAGAAACTCTGCCCATTGTTTCTCGCCGGCGCCTGGGATCGAACCCAGGACCACAGGATCACAAGTCCAGCGTGCTGTCCGCTCGGCCGACCGGTTCCCTGTAAGGTTGAGGAAACGTTCAATT